GTCACTTCCATATGGACAAATCCAAAAAGGGGTGATCTCCCATGAATATGGGGAGATCAAAAGAAGGATTGTTGGATTTCATATTTTTATACCTTTTTATATTTCCTATCAAGCATTCAAATGTCATGTTATACAAAGTGTGTGTGTGTGTGTCTTTCTTCCAGGGTTGCACTATATTTATAGAAACTGTTTATTAAATCTAACTAGTTTACCTTTACATATAATCTTATATTAGCTAATGATATTTTACAAGTTCACATTTGATATATTACAAGCAATCAAATCATGCCAGATAGCAGACTGATTAACATAAATAAAGCTAGAACACATTTCTTTAATTTAGACTTAATATAGTTTGACTAAATAAAATCCCTCAGGTTCTCTCTTAATAATAACCATTAACATTTAATCATTGTTGAATACAGGGTCGGTTTAGCTGAGAGGATACAGGGTTAATTGTCACAGTAAGCTACAACAGCAAGTAAACTAAAAAGTATAAAAAGGGATCAAGTAAGAACACGCAAACATGAGTTAGATAACAATTAATAGTTATTAATTATTCCTAGAAATAAACAACTTTAACTCAAATCATTTGGTATTCAGTGTGCCATAAACTTTTAAACTAACGTCCTTCAGGGGGCGGGCTACACCAGTAACCATGGCAACTGAAGGGCTAAACCAATCAGAGGAGCTAGCTTTTCAAGCTTTTATAAAAGCCGGAAATGACACACGCTCAGCGGGCATTTCCGGGGAAGACCAGACCGAGACGGTTCGTTCTTTAATGCTCCAAATATATGCATATATTTTATTAATGTAATTGTTTGTCTCTGAATATCTGTAACCCCTGTTTGTCAAATAAATCTTTTATACCGAGGGCGATGTCTCAGCTGTCTTGAACACGATGTGGTAACCAGCCACGACACTCTGAAGCTAACCTAGCCCATAGAACACTACAAAAGAAAGAGGTTGGCCAAGAAGAAACATGACAGTGAGAAGACTGAAGAGAGGAGACAGGAATATAAGGAGATGGGACGTAGAGCAAAGAGGGAGGTATCAAAGACAAATCAGAAGACATATGATGAGTTGTATGGGAGCCTGGACACTAAAGAGGGTGAGAAGGACTTGTACCGATTAGCAAGACAGAGGGATCAGGCTGGAAAGGATGTGCAGCATGTTAAGCTTGTTAAAGATAGGAATGGTATTGTTCTAACAAGTGAGGAGAGTGTGTCGAGAAGATGGAAGGAGTACTTAGAGGATATCCTGATGCATGCTCAATAATCCAGGTAGAAAAATCCAAAAAAGTTCAATCTGGTCCTCTGGACATTCCAAAAAAACCAAAAAACAAAACAAAGCAAAAAAAAATGTAGAAACGTTTCGTCTCTCATCCGAAAGACTTTCTCAGTCTGAGGTGCTGTATTCAGCTCAGCCTCTTAAATATCACCTTCTCATAGTGGATCAACCACTTTGCTGCTGACAACCAAAACCAGCTGCTCACATGGTCAAGAAGGACCATTAGCCTAACAATGGATCATTAGCACACTGATGGCTGTTTACTACTCACAGGGGGTTGAGTGATACTAGCAATAACAGCATTGTAAGAGGGGAACAATTGAACCCGTAGGCCTCCACCCCTGTTTAATGATGGACTATTTCTTTTCACAAAGATGGCCTTCTTTACTCCTCTCTCAAACCATCATTCCTCTCTGTCCAGGATGTGAACATCTTCATCCCTGAAAGAGTGACCACTGGCCTGGAGATGAGTGTAGACCGCAGAGTAGGTCTAGTGGGGATGTTGTCTGCTCTGTGATACAGAGTCCTGATGACTCCTAACTTGTGCTTCAAAGGGTGATGGGAGTCAAACTGCAAATACTGGTCTGTGTGGGTGGGTTTGTGGTACACCTCGATTTGCAAATGTCCTCTAGCAGAGACTGAGACCTCACAGTCCAAGAAAGCCAACATGCCATTTTTTACATCTTCTCGTGTGAACTTGATGTATTTATCTAAGAAGTTAGATAGTGTTTGTTTAAATTCATACTGGAAGTTGAGAAGAATTTCCAATTGCATTTGATCTTTAATGATTCCTAAGAAAAGATTAACAGAATCTGCTCAACTGTTATTATGTTGTAAAATTTTTGGTTCTAGGATGAAGTGAGACAAAAACTGTCCAAAATTCAGAAAAGACAGTTATCATTTATCAGTTATCATTTATCAGTTATCGGCCGTACAACTGTGGCCCGAGAGATTCAGCTGAAAGTCCTGGTGCACCTTTTATTTGAACCTGCAGAGATTTGAACAGCTGATCTGAAGCAAACAGGCAGGAGTTCACCTGAACTGACCACTCCTGCTGTGTTTGATGGTCTCCTCCTTCGCCATCCATCCATCCATCCATCCATCCATCCATCCATCCATCCATCCA